TAGTACAAGGAACAACCATATCCTCTTTACTTGATTTACCAAATGGTCATATTTTGCCCCATTTTTTTTTATCATTCTCTTTATGAAATATTTTTATAAACGTATATTTTTTTTCTCTGAGCCATCTGACAATAAGTTGGAGTCTATGGTTCCACTTTGCCCTAAACACTTGAGTGTGTATTTCCTAGGAACGAGAACATCCTCTCATATGAGCATGGCACAAGTGATCCGAACGTATCAGGAAATGTATATTGATCCAATGCTGTGATTTATTCATAGCGGGGAATCTGCGTTGCCACAGTCGAACCACTGGTGGGCACATTTTTCTTAAAAAAAAAAAAAAGAAATTTTGTATTGTCACCATCTGTCTTCACCTGGCCATTTTGTTCACCATGTTCGTGCATATAGAAGGTCCCTGTGATTAACATGGGATAGTGTTTCTCAGTGTGGCGATGCACAGATTAGTCCCCTTCTGCTGTCGGGGGGGGGGGGGGGGGGGGGGGGGGGCACGCAGTATTTCCTACACTTTGCCGTTGCAGACATCCTCAGGCATAACTGATTGTTAGTGGGCATTGCTCTGAAGAGCTGTTGTGTGACCACGGAGGGAGGACAAGTGAGGACTCATGATGCTGGAAGAAGTGCCTTTTAAAGGAGTTGGTTATCTCCCACAATGTGTGAGATAAAGGCTTTTCAGCAGCATAACTATTCAGATTTCTCTAATAAATAGTTGTGTTTTGGGTGGTTGCAGGGGGGCGGTGAGTGGGTCAGGGGAAAGAGTAGAAGAGTTCTTGAAGAACAATTCTTAGGAGAATTGTTCACAGTAATGCTGCCTTTTTATGGGCCCAGCACTGTCTTAGGGAGCTTTCAGCTGCATGCAGAAGGCCTCGTTTGCTCCGAGGACCCTTTGATGGAAACAGCCAGCCCTCACCCCCCTCCTGCGTCACATCCAAGGCGAGCAGTGTTCTCTGGATCAGGACACTTTTCTTCTGTACATTGAGCACACTTCCACCAGGGGGGGAAGGTTGCTATTTCTGCTTTGTGTGAAGCATTTTGTACCATCTGGGCTGGCTGGATTTCAACAAAGATAGTAAAGAAACATTTATCAAGAAAAATCAAAGTCAGTCTCGCCAAGTGTGGTCTAGAGAGATTTGCTTCCTCAGTACGTTGTGGCTGGGAAACAGGACTCTACTTTGAAAAGCTTCAGGAGGGTCAGGCCTCTGGGTTTTAGCCTGCAGCTGCTGTCCCCAGCTCACGACGTGATGGTTTCGGGAACGAGAGCTCTTGAGATGTGAACACCAGCAGGTTCAGAATCCATTTCACTCCATTCCTCTCTGCATCCCCATCCTCTTCAGTAATAGACCCAAAAGGACAAAAGAGGAAGAAAAGATCTATAAGGGCTGGGGAAGAGATGGAGTCCTACCTCGGTCACGGATATTGGGTTCAGGAGAAGCAGAGGCCCAAGGAGAGGTCATTCTCAAAGCATTCATTATAAAGATTGGCTCAAACTAACATGCACTTGTCCCATCAGGAGCCCTCGGAAGGAGCTATGAGCTCGTAAACTTACAGTAGAAGAAAGTTCTGGTGATGGTGCTGTGGTGTCAGCTCATAACACGGGGAGTAAGGTGGGAGGGGGTGTGGGTCTTGACAGAAAGAAGAGATGTGAGCCGTTCCCACTTGCACATGTGTTGCCAATCACCCAGACAGACAAGTTCCTGGCACGGCAGCGCGCCTCAGATCATGTTTTTATGCAGCTTACTCCGTGATAGATGTGTCATTACAAGATCCCAGCCTAGAAACAGGCACATGCTCTTTTCCCTGGAAGCTCAAGAAATGGGAGAAAGTAACAGTTGGAGATTGTAGTCTATGGGAAAGATGCATGGGGATCTTAAATTATATCATCCGGAAACGCTTTGCTTAATGTCTGCTGTATGGACCAGCTGCAGCAGTATCACCTGGGAACATGTTAGAAAAACAAGTGAGCAGCTCTCCCTCCAGAGTCACTGAATCAGAGAATCCATCGGTAGAAGTGGGTCCCAGGGATATGGACCTCACAAGCCCTGTGGGTGACTCTTAGACACACTAAGTTTTGAGGAAAGCCCTGGAAGAGTTCAAGTGGGAAGGTCAGATGCATAGTTCTCAAAGACGAAGACCCAGACGTCCATTTGGAAGTGGTTAGCTCTTCTTAATAAAAGGGGACAAATGAGAGGGGACACTGAATATGTGTGATAATAATAATAAAATAGCAAAAGTAGAGCTGGCATTTATTGACTATTCCGTGGGAGCCAGGTTCTGAGCTGAACATGTATGTTCACATCCTATTATGCTCTTACAGCAACCCAATGATGTATGTATTTCTCCATCTCCTGGGTCAAGAAATGGAGGTCCCAAAATGTGATGTAACTGCTAGGTACGATGCAAAACCTGACATCTCGTAGCCTTGTATCCACTACACTATGCAACCTGACTATGGACTCATTAGCCGTCAACCATGCTTTGAATAAATTTGGGTTTCTGTATTCCTGGGGGACAGGAGCAACATCTTATCCCCATGTCCCCAGTGCCTAACAGAATGCCTAATTCCTCACAGGGACCTGCTTATTGAACTTAACTGAGTCAAAGTCAAAGAAGAAAAGTTCTTGCTTTTGGTGCAAGAATGAGGTATAACCTGAACGAGAATGGCATGGAGCGAGATAAATGGGCTGTGGATAAATGGAAGGAAAGGTCATAAGCTAGAGTGCAGAAACACACTGGTGCAGAATAATTGTCAGCTGACCCCCTGGGGCCCTTTGTCACTCTCCTGGCAGTCCACCCAGCCCTTTTTCCATCTCCTGTATTCAGTCCCAACCCCTTCCTAGTGACAGGGTCTTAGACGAGTCAGCAAAGTCTGACTTACCCCCGCCCCCAACAGCAATGGTGAGCTGATTGGGTGTAGGAAAATAAAGAGAAGATCTATGAATTTAACTAGGGCTGGGTTCCCCCCCCCACCCACCCAAATAAATAAAATGGAAAGAAAGAGGAACAAGAGAGTTGAGGGGGTTTCCAAGCGAGTGATTATAATGCATTATGAACTCTAGGCTGGGAGTGAAATAAAGGCAAGAGGGAATAGGGAGAAGAGTCAATAAAGATGGGATCAACAGACTGACTGTTGGTGTAAGATTGGTCACAATGGGGTACTAGGGTTAATGAACTGGAAAAATAGGGAGGGGCATTGGCTTGTAAGGTTTGCGAAGTGGAGATTGAGAAAGTGGTGTGATTTCTGGGATGATAAACTCCAGTTATCATGAACTGTGATAGCATGAAGCGAAGGTTATAGGAGGTGAGGGGATGCTTTATCCCCTACTTTCTAATATTCTGTTTCTATTGTATTATTGCACTTATGGAACACTCAGAAAAAAATGTTGAACTATAGCTGGGGTCATGGATGTCTATCGCCTTCCTGCCTTTAAGGGGATTACATTTATCCTCAACTATGGCTCTATTATTTCAGATAGCTTTTATCCTGGGAAGACAATTTCCTGCTGTTTGTAGCTAATTGCAATGATCCAATGGTTTTCTCCTTTGACCTATACATATAATGAATGTTTTAATAATAGATTTTCTATGATTGAACCGTCTTTGCATTCCTGGTAAGTGTCATTCTATATTGACCTTCTGGCAGATCGCTTAATTCAATCTGCTAATGCAATACTTTGGATTTTTCTATCATAAGTGAGATGGTTGGCACCGTATACTTATGACCCATACAACTCCCATTTTCCCATCTCCTTCTCATGGCTGCCTATGTAACTTCTTGTGTCCCTAGGCTGGTGTTGTGTCTACACTACTGACCCTCTGCTTCCTTTCTTTAAACCAGTCTTTTTTTTTTTTTTTTCAGGAATTTTTTTTTTTAGATTTTTAAAATTTATTTATTTGACAGAGAGAGAGAGATCACAAGTAGGCAGAAAGGCAGGCAGAGAGAGAGGGGGAAGCAGGCTCCCTGCTGAACAGAGAGCCTGATGCGGGGCTCGATCCCAGGACCCTGGGATCATGACTTGAGCCAAAGGCAGATGCTTAACCCACTGAGCCACCCAGATGCCCCTTCTTTAAGCCAATCTTACAGCCTGCTTTACTGTGTTCCTCGTTGAGGGTGGAGCCCACCTGTCATGCTGTGGTATTTTTCCAGCCTTCTGTCTGGGTGGAGGTCATGAGAGCAACTCTTTCTCTTTCAGCTTTTGCTTTTTGAATTGAGGTAAAATTCACATAACACAAAATTAACCATTAACCATCTTAAAATGTACCATTCACGGGTGCTTAGTATATTCATGGGGTTGTGCAACCATCACCGGTATCTAGGTCCAAGAGATGTTATCACCAGAAAAGGAAATCCCTTACCTGTTTCATAGTCACTCCCCATTCCCCCCTCCCTACCAGCTCCTGGCCGCCACCGGTCTGTGTGTCTGTGGATTTCCCTCTTCTGGGTGTTTCCTATCAGTGGAATCCTACAACATGTGACCTTCTGCGTCGGAGTGCACAGGTGTTCACAGCAGCACTATTTGCGTGAGCCAAAGTGTGGGAACAGCCTCAACGGCCACCTGATTAATGGATAAATGGAGTTCACTCTGCCCATACAAGGGGACAATATTCAGCCATAAACGTAGCGCTGATCCGTGCCACAACATGGATGAACCCTGAAAATATTATGCTCGGTGAAAGAAGCCAGACTTTCTTGTTGGCTTTGTGGAACACAAGCTTTGAGAGCATGTAGCTAATCTTGGGGGCCCAGCAGGCAGAGCAGTGGGGAAGTCAGAAGTCAGTGTCGAACTCATATCGGTTAAGAGGTTGACTACATCTGACCCATGCATCTTGCTTTGCGTGCTTCTTAGCTGTGGATGACCCTAAGTCACATCTCCTATGAGACAAGTGTGATGCCGAGGACTTGTCCACAGGGTCTCCGACCCTCGCTGGCTGATGCTTAAACATGACAGGACTATTAATGCTGAAATTGCTTTTTCTCTTTTCAGTAAGAGATGCTAAAAACCTTGTACCTATGGACCCCAATGGCTTGTCAGACCCTTACGTGAAACTGAAACTGATTCCCGACCCCAAGAGCGAGAGCAAGCAGAAGACCAAAACCATCAAATGCTCCCTCAACCCTGAGTGGAACGAGACATTCAGATTGTAAGTTAGAATTATCGCCGCCCAGCGTGGGCGGTGGGGTTCACCTTGTGGGCCACAAGCATTGGGGAGGGCCCCTCCCAGCTTCCATTTCATTTCTCCCCTGCCTTCCTCTCTTTCTCCCTCCTCCCTTCCCTTACTCCCCCTCCATCTGCATTTTTGCACTGCAAGCCAAGTAAAAATTAGAACTTATTTTTTTAATAGAGTTGAGAATGTCTGTGGTGTGGGGAGTGGGTGGGATAGAAAGTAGTGTGATGTGTTGCTAGGTGAAGGCAAGTTGTGGGAGAAGTTCTGGTCTCAGAGAACAGTGGGACGTAACCCATAGGGTGTGGTGATAACCCCTGTGGGGCTGAGTCTGGGGTATGGATGTGCTGGGGCCGCAGCCCGTCAAGAGTCCTCTGCTAGCTTCCATAGTGGATCTTCCCGGGCCAGTGCTCCAAGAACCTGGGGTCACTTTTTGAGGCATCTGGGCCCACAAGGGTTAGTGACGTCAACTAGAGTTTATGGAGCATATCGCGGTTGTAAAAAACACGCTAGTGAATGATCTCAGTTCATTGGCCATTTCATCTCTATTTAACCAATGGGGCTTGACAACGTTAAAAAATGTGCCCAGAGTCCCCCAGCAAATGTGGGGTCATTCTGTGGGGAGATTCTGAAGTCTGACACCAGAGTCTGTGGGCCAAAAGCACGATTCCTTGTGGGAGCCCCATCCCCCTGTTCCCTCTCTCAGGGTGAAAGTGGGGGCACACCTCAGCCTCCATCAAGGACACACCTCAGAACAGCTTCCGCCAACCAGCACCAGCAAGACTGCTTCATCCACGTGTGTCCTGAGTCTCATGCCAACTCACGTGTGTGCAAACACTCATGCAATTATGTCATCGATACCCAGAGTTCTTGTTGCCACTTTGTCAGTAGGGTTTCCCGAACATACCGAACCCTATTAAGACATAAGGAAGCGGCTAGAACTGTATCTGGCGGCGCTGGTCCAGGTCCTTCCCCCCTGGCGAGCCACGGGCTGCGGGACTTGAGCAGCCCTCCCTCCCTGGGGAGCTTGCCTGGGATGGAAATGGAATATGCAGCTGGCAACAGCTTGTAATCTTTTAAAAATTCCCACCTTCGGGCTTTTTCCTCTTAAACATTTCATCTGCTTGAGAAATCATGGTAAGCCTCTCTGACTTCTCTCTTCTTGCTCTTGGCAGCCAACTGAAAGAATCGGACAAAGACAGAAGACTGTCCGTGGAGATTTGGGACTGGGATCTGACCAGCAGGAATGACTTCATGGGATCTTTGTCGTTTGGGATTTCCGAACTGCAGAAAGCTGGTGTTGATGGCTGGTAAGCAGGATTTTGCTTTGAACGCTGCCATACAGCTTGGTGCATCGAATGGGGGAAGAAGGATGTTTTCCTTTTTGTCCTAAAAGTGAGATACTAAAACGGAGTCACAGAGTGATAGCTGGTAGATTGGATCTGCCTCACGGATATGTTTTATTCGGTCCTTGTACTTAAAAAAAAAAAAAATCAGTTCCTAGTATTTTCAAAATCTGGACATTTTCTATAAAAATCTGGACTTCTGGGGGTGCCTGGGTGGCTTAGTCGCTTAAGCATCCAACTCTTTTTTTTTTTTTTTTTTTAAGATTTTTATTTATTTATTTAAGAGAGAGAGAGAGAGAGCATGAGCAGGGAGAGGAGCAGAGTCATAGGGAGAAGTAGGGAGCCCGATGCAGGGCTCGATCCCAGGACCCTGAGATCATGACCTGAGCCGAAGGCAGATGCTTAACTGACTGAGACACCCAGGTGCCCCCAAGTGTCCTACTCTTGATCTCAGCTCAGGTCTTGACCTCAGAGTCACAAGTTCAAGCCCTGCATTGGGCTCCATGCTGAGCATGGAGCCTACTTAAAAAAAAAAAAAAAATCTGGACTTCTGGCTTGCAAAGCCAGAAATACCTGGATGTACTGAGCCCAGAAGGCAATAACTGAGAACAGGTGAGTAGTTAGTTAATGCCTTCTTTAGACAGGACATGGATTTTCTGTTTGCCCTAGTCTTCACCATTCCCTATTGCTTTACATCTGTCTAACTTTACACAGTTTCATGTCTTGACTGGCCCCCATGGGCACTAAAGTGGCTCTTACAATGTACCCTAAAAGTACACCCAATCTTTTGTCAGATTCCAGCTCCATAGGAAAATACTCCCTCGTTGGGACCACTTACCAAGCCTGGCCACAGAGGTGCTGGGAGGTTGTGTCATGGTCAGCTGCAGTGTGTCCTTTGTTCTGCAGTTTTTGTTCCATTCCCTTCTCCTGGCAAAAAATCCTTGCTCAGTAGTCCCAGCAAAGAGGCCGGGTGAGCTCCCTTGGCAATGGTTGGTTTCACCATCATCTGAATAAAAGGAGTCAGAATACACAGTCCAACCTGGCACCATAGCTTTGGGCAAAGCGGGCATTATTGGCTGCTCTTATCTCTTTAAGAGAAATTGTCTCCCTTATAACTTCATTCAGGACGTTTTCAGTTACAAGTGAAAGAAAATAAAAAATCAGACCCATTTAGCAAGGAAGGGAATGCATCTCGAGGACCACACATCCTCCCCATTGCTCACCATACAACCTCCTTGTCTCTCGTCCCTGTTCATTATAGACTTTGTTGTTGTTTTTTAAAGATTTATTTATTTATTTAAAAGAGAGAGGATGCAAGCGGGATGTGGCAGGGAGGGCAGAGGGAGAGAGAGAATCCCAAGCAGACTTCCCACTGAATGTGGAGCCCAATGCGGGGCTCGATTTCACCACCCTGAGTGAGATGAGACCAAGAGTTGGACGTTCAACCGACTGAACCACCCAGACATTCCTGTATTTATCACAGACTTTTATTCAAATCGATTTTGAGTCTCTCTCTAGTCTCTTCTAGTCACTAGAGATCCATCAGGTATAAGACAGCCATGCCCTCATGGTGCTTAACTTCTGGAGCAAGAAGAAATGACACCAATAACTACTCAATGACAACATGATGACAGATGGGAAGGAGGATGAAAGCCATGTGGGTACAAAATTAACAGTAGTAATAAGGTGTCTTAAAGCACAGACCACAAACGGTTAACAACAGAATTCTCAGAAAAAAAATTAGGTAAGGAGCATCTGTCACAATTTTTCCTTAGCTCACGAATGGGGAGACCAGGAACATGAATGGCTGATTCCAGAGGTTTGAGAAGCTCAGATTGGTAGACCAGGAGATGCAGGAATGCTGAAGTCCCTTTGTACGTTAGAGGTACAGCCGACTGCCAAACGGGATGACAAAATCACAGCCTTGGGCATGACCCATCTACGACTAGAAGAACTGCTTTTATTCTTCTTCTTCTTCTTTTATTTTATTTTATTTAAGATTTTATTTATTCATTTGAGAAAGAGAGAGACAAAGATAGCAACAGAGCACAAGCGGGGAGAAGGAGAAACTCCTGGCTGAGCAGGGAGCCAGATGTGGGGGCTTGATCCCAGGACTCTGGGATCATGACCTGAGCTGAAGGCAGACACTTAACTGCCTGAGCCACCCAGGTGCCCCTTTCTTCTTCTTTTTTAAAGCTTTTATTTTTAAGAACCTCTACACCCAACGTAGGGGTTGAACTCACCACCCAGAGCTCAAGAGTTGCACACTTCTCCGACTAAAGCCAGCCAGGTGCCCCAGACGGGCAGAACTTAGAAAAGTTAATGATTGTCTTTGCAGAGCTGGGAGACCATGTGGGCCTAACTGGCTTGTGGATTATAAGTAACAGTTCTAAGTAATAGACTAATCGGTAATAGCGGGGAAGGAGATAACTATTTAGAAAATGTCCTTGCATGACAGTAAGGGGTCACACCGCCATCTTTTTACCGTTTTTCCATTTCACACAGGCACAGAAATTCTCCACCAAATACTAGCAAACCAAATCCAATAACACATTAAAAAAAAAAAAAATCATTCTCCATGACCAAGTGGGATTTATCCCAGGGATGCAAGGGTGGTTCAATCAGCGGGATATATCACATCGACAGGAGAAAGGATAAAAACCATACAATCATCTCGATAGAGGCAAAAAAATAAATAAAAATAAAAGGCATTTGACAAAGCACGACATCCATTCATGATAAAAAAAAAAAACTTGGGTTAATTTTTCTTTTTAAATATTTTATTTATTTATTTGACAGAGATCACAAGTAGGCAGAGAGGCAGGCAGAGAGAGGAGGAAGCAGGCTCCCTATGGAGCAGAGAGCCCGATGTGAGGCTCGATCCCAGGACCCTGAGATCATGACCTGAGCCAAAGGCAGAGGCTTTAACCCACTGAGCCACCCAGGCGCCCCTTGGGTTAATTTTTCTTAACATATGGATGATCTGACTTTGTGCGCTGCCATTAGCACTAGTGACAGACTGCAAATTCCTTCCTCTTGAAGTCAGGCGTAAGGAGGTTAAGGATAAGGAATGTATGATCCCCCGGGGGGTTCTGAGTGAGACGGGAGAGTGAACATGATAATAATAATTACTAGAGCAATAGCTACCACTTAGTGACTCTTAGCTGCATGCCAGGCTCCAGGCTGATCACTTTCCAGGTGTTCTGGAGTCACACATTGATACCCAGGATTAGCCTCTTTATTTTCTGTAATGTACCCAGACTTTCTTAGGCACTTTAGTGACCTCCTGGTGGTGAGAAGGGGACCCTCTTGCCTGTGGTATGCCTTCTGGGCTTGACTGTTGCAGCCCGGCTGATCCTGCCTGGTCCCTGAACCCGTGCCCATGAGGTTGGACGGGTCCCCCCCGTCCTCCATCCCCCCTCTCCCCCAGTTTAGAACATCATTTCTGGCCTCCTGCTGGAGTCCCAGGTCTTGGCCTGTTGCCTCTAGTTGTGAGGTCCTTCACATGGTGTCTTCTTTGTCCCACTCCCCAGGCCACCTGTGTGAGCCCTCGTTTCTCAGCCTCCTGCATGCGGGCCAGGAGTGCTGTCCGAGTGATCCCTATATCCCTGGCCCATGTGGCCCCCCACATAGGTCTCTGCCCAGGGCAGAGAAGGACAGGCCAGGCCCCTCTGCTTTTGCCCTATCCTTGCTCACTTCTCGTGGTTCCTCAGTCCCGAACGGGCAGGGCTCTCTCCCACAGGTGCCTCCCCTTCCTGGTCTGGTGCCTGCCCTGTCTGCTCCCTGGAAATGGCAGAGGGCAGGGGGAACGAAAGGACTGAGTCCAAAATATCCCCGCACGTACACATTATCATCCTTCAATTCTCCCACCAGTTCTGGGCAGAGCGTCGTTCCTGGGATCAGAGCATTCAAGCAATGTGTGAAAGGACACACAGCTCGTATGTGACGGTGCTTGAGTTTGGGTCCAGGTCTCTGGAATGCTAGGGCTGAAGCACGTGCCCTCCCATTCTGCCTCCTGGTACAGGGGTTTGGCAGAGGCCTTGAAGGTAGATGGGAGGCCTTTGACCTTGGCTGTCCTGAGGGGATGGATGCTTTGTGACTTCAGGTGAATCCGTTTACCTCTCTGTACTCCAGCCTTCTCAGCTGTTAAGATTCCATGAGTCAGGGCTAATTGTAGCATCCCCCACACCCCCCCAGGCGAGTTGTGAAATTGTGTATTGGAGGGAACTTCTGCTAAATAAAAGCCCTCTTTGGGTTTTGCAGATAAAAGTCCCCCCCAAAAGATTCAGGGCCAAGACATCTGCGAACCTGTCTTGAACGTAAATGGAACAAATTCTAGACATTTGCATTCTTGTCCTTGTGGGCTCTTGGGTGAGTTCCATGCCATCTCCGAGACTCAGTTTCCCCATCTGGCAGGGGATGAGCTCTCCCAGCTCTTCTGTTGTGTGGTAATTGAAGACCACGCAGCAGAAAGGGGCAGCTGTGCAAGCTCCCAGATGTGGCGTGCCAGCCTCAGGCCCCTCATCTGCTGCTTTGCCACCAGCCCCGCGTCTGTCGTCAGATCCACTCCTTTGTTTCTAATTTTATTTGTTTTTGCTATCTCCTTTCCTTCCTCCTTGTTTTCCAGGGGTTCATCTGTTTTGCTGTGGTTTATTTTTCTGCAAAGAATGAGTTTACGAATCAGTTCTGTGTTTGGCTCTTCTTCTCTGTGGGTTTGTTGGGTGGTTGCATGTGAATTTCAGATGAACATTTTGCTAATTTATTTTCCTTCTCTTAACGGGCTCTGCTCTTCAAGAATAAAGAACAAGCATCAGAGGGAATAAAGATTTCCTCTGAGCTGTGATATGCCGCGTTCTAGTTTTTGCTGCTTGCTGAAGGTCTGCACTTGTGTTTCTAATTTCCTTTAAGCGTGCTTTTATTTGGGCATTTTGGAAATCATTTTGGTGTTACTTTTTGTTTCGTTT